TCATCTCTGGCTCATTGCCGAGGAATTACCTACTTCGAACCATAGGTGTCCAGTACAATACAATTCTTCTCAGGCTTATAGCCAAGGAATTATATGCTTCGGACCCTAAGTGTCCGGTATAAATCAACTATTCCTCTAAGACAAGGAATTCACATTTCAGACACTAGGAGTCTGAATACAAATAAATTAGGCTAAAAACCAGATGAGCAAGCCAAAACCTAGACAGAGGTTGATATATTCTATGACATTTTATTCTTAAATCAATGAATTTGATCACGACAATTGCTAAGTCAAGTAAGTAATTTGTCCCACATCGGAATAAAACACGGAAAAACAAGTGTTGATATACTTGTTTCACACAAGGTCAAGGGCAAGAAGGGTTCCCTTAATGGTTAAATAGCTAAATGGTACAACCATCTCTAACTAATAGCTGAACTATCATAAGAGTTCCCTTCTTATTGTCAAAGACATGAAAGTTGCTCAGCACAAATGTGCAATTCTGAAGTACTAGAAAATGTGCTAATTTTCTAAAAAGTTAAATATCAAAGTTATTACAAACATTATTCGCACAAGCAAAATAAATACATCAGGCTAAAACAAGTACATAGGTTCACTTCCTTTTTGGGTCAAAATGAGCAGAGTCAAAAGCATCTGCTACGTTCGGCCTTGAAGTTGGAGGTATTAAAAAGCTTGGAGCTAGAGGTACTGAAGAGCTTGGTGCTGGAGGATCCCCTTGATGAGACTTCGACATCTCAGTGAACAACACTTCAGCTTCTTGAGCCTTCGGACCCTCATTATAAGGGAAGGACACCCCATATCAACATCAAAAGCCTCATGGTCCTTTTGTTTATCGCCTGAGCCCTGATTGAAGCCGAACCAAAAGGCATTTGCACTTGACAAGTGTACTAGAGAGGAGTAGTGTTCATGCATCTGCTTTCCAGTAGTTGTACAAGTATTAACCGCATCCCTCCACCACAGTCTTTTCGCCTCCAGCTTTTTAACCTTAACCTCAACAGATGCAAGTTGGCTTTTATATACGTCTCTGGCATCATAAGCCATCTTGACATCCAATAGTGCATGAGAGAGCTTCTTCCCAGCAATCTCCAGCTCATTCTCCAATTTTTGGATATAGATTGATTGAGCTTCAATAGTAGCACACAGGGCCATAGTATGGTACATACTCTATACAGTCAACAAAAGTGTAAATAATGCAGAAAGAAAGTCAAGTGAATATAAAAGAAAGTCGCAGCTGGTCCAACCCCATATTTCCAATGATTTCTTCATCTTTAGGCAGCCACATCCCCTGAGCTACTACCAAAGCGGTAGAGGGGTTAGTAACCACCGAGTCTTCAGAATGAAGAACTGACTTATCAGTTCTTGAGAAGATGGGTCTCCAAGGTTCTCCAGCCTCTACTAGGACATAAGCCCTAACTTTTTCCTCAAGGTCAGCTTCATTAGCCCTCTTCCCTTTGCTCTTGGAGACATTTTTGCCCTTACTAGTTGAAGGAGGGTTCTATTTTGTCTTCTTCAGAAGAGGATCGTCAACTTCCTTCTCATGTGCAGTGGAACGGATAACGGCAAGGGGTTGATCCTCTGCTGCTTTCTTTTTAAGAGCTTTAGCTCTTTTCTTCTCCTCGTCAATCAGAGGGAAGCTGTCGAAAGAAGGAAGTGCCAAATCCATGAGATCAGCCACTGCAGCACTGGAGGCAATTTCCTTGAGGTTGGACGAAGAGAGCAAATCCTTGATAGATGGGGGATCACTCCAAACCTATTCTTCGAGAAAGGTGAGCCTATTTTTAGCTGTAGAGGAGGGGAATGTTGCTGAAAAAATATCAAGAAATTCATAAGTGTGACGAAAAAGTAAAACTTGACATAAGAAACAACCAGAGCACTTGGCATAAGGGGAAGGAAAACATTTTATACCTAACTTCCCAAATTTACGTAGGATTGGGAGTTTACTCGATTGAGACACAGCCAATTCCCTTTAACAATTATCATCCTCTCTTTCCATCTCTTCTCGGAGACAGAGAGGTCCGTACATATCCTCTGTTGAAGAGAGGAAGTGAAATAAAAACGGCCAGGCTTGATTCCATGCCTGGAAATGGTATAGGTAATTAATAGGTCGACAAGAGTCAAATCAAGACTCTTTAGCCTTCGGTGAACAAAAAGAGCCGAGACTATTCGAATAAAATTAAGGTTTACCTGAAGAGGGGCAAAACCTAACTTATTGAAGACCAAGTGATAGAAAGGGTGAAGAAGGAATCGAAGAGCATTAAGGTGCCCAACCGATAAAAGCAATTCATTATCCCCGACGCCCTCGCCTGAACTGAAGTTAGCCTTCTTTGGGTATTCAACAATTTCTACCCCTTCAGGGATTTCAAATTCCTCCATTACAAACTCAGTGGTGAACTTGAGAAGCCAAATAGACAAAATCATCCTTTTCTCCTCTTTGGTGAAAACAATATTTGACCCAGAAGTGGATACATCAGCTTGAGGTAAAGAATCCTCCATTCGACTGACTGAATTGCTCGCAGATGCAAGGGGTCAGAAGCCCTAAAGGAAGAAACCCTAATGAGAATAGGGGAAAACAAAGGTGTGGACTCGAAATCTACAATTTCTATGTGGTCATGAGTGGGTGAGGTGCTCATGATACAAGATCAAAGAAGTAGACGAAAAACTAACCTGGTTTCACGATGAAATGAAGAACTCAATGAATGCAGTGAGAGCAAAAACAAGTCTTGAAGAAGCTCTTGGGACAAGACACTCCTTGAACCGCCTCTTGCAAAATTGGCAACTGTGCAACTTTAATTTTCTTCTAATTAGGAGTCGTAGTCCAATTAAAGAGGGAATTGGGGGCAAAGTGTGGAGGGAAAAATCCCCCACCCCCACCCCCTCCCAGTGAGAGTCGTCCACGTCATCGTAATACAAATTTATACTTTCGATCCTTTAATAGATTGCAGAAACCCAATCCGGGTCAAGCCCAAATTAAGTCTCCATTTAGCCCAAGATCGCTGGTACTACGCTTCCAGCCCATCAATCAATCTCAGCTGGCCCAAGATGTATTTGGCCCAGACTATATGGAAGTAAATGAGTCTTACTAATCAAAGGAATCAACATAGAAAGAAAGTTTTATGCAAGGAAAGTTTGGCATGGAAAGAATTATGAAAAGGAAAGAACTCTATTTGTAAAGAATGGTGTATATAGAATGGATTGGAGGACATGCAAGGCAAGTCCTACCATAATTCCACTACCTTTTTGTATATAAATAGGGGCCTAGACCTCCAATAAAGATCATCGAGCAATATACGATTTTCTCTGAATAATTCTTATTGCTTATTATTTTATCTTGAGTGAGTTGTATTATTTCTTTTAAATTCTTTTATAGAAAGAAATTTTGCACCTACAGTAGAGTTTTTGGGACAAAAGAGAATTGCTGTCCCAATTCACCCAAAAACATAGCTGGCGTTATTTAAGTAAACAAAAGAAAAGCGCCAACAGTTTGGAGGGAATAAATTTGGCGGAATTGTAATTTTTGCGCCTAATCATCATTATACATTACATGTGTTAGTCATACACTTCTCTATTCCTTTCTAAATATCAACTAAAAAAATAAAATATAAATTTAAAAAAAAAAAACCACACCGTTTGGATTTTTTACAAAACCCACCCTCTTCAACTTTTCTCAGTACTCTCCGAATGCTACATGAATAAGTCTCTCTAAACCCATGGCCAGATTGCCTTTTTCTCTCTGTAATCCATAGGCGCCGACTCTCTCAGCAACCCTTCTCTCTGCAACCATACCATTTTTATTCTATTATTCCATCTCTTCTTCGATTATTCCCAATTTATTTCTTCTCTTTCTCTCTCAATTAATTTGTAAAAAGCAGCAAAAGCCTCTCGATCTATCACACGTTCCTGAATATTGACAACATATTTCGATTTGTCTTGGAAGGTAAGAGAATCCAATTTCTGTATAATCTGTTCCTTATTATATTTGTTTTGTTTTTTAACATGTTCACACAAATTTGTGTTGGTTGTGAACTGAACCAGAAGGTGGGCTCTACTCGTGTCCAACTATCTTTTCCTCAACTACGTCTTAATCCCATCCTTCTTTCCTACAGGTCATTTCTCGCCGCCGTCGAGCTCTCTGTGGGTGTACTGTTTCTGGACTTTTGGGGGCGAATTGAGGCTAATTAGGTGAATTTTTTTATTTTTTTTATTTCTTTATTTTTTATTTTTAACTCTAGCTCTTTCACTCGACTAATTTTTTATTTATTTTTCCTTTTTTGTATTCTGTAGACCGACACTCAAATTACAGAGATAATTTTAATTTAGAGAGAGTGCAAAACGTCTCAGTTTCTTTACATAACGCCAGCGTTTAAATTAAAGGTAATCGGCCTGTTCTTTGAAGGTAATTTTTCCAATCAATTGAAGGATTTGTCGGATGTATTTTAATTTGTATGCCTATGTGTTTTTTTCTTGTATTTTGTGTGTAAAACCTTAGAAGGATTTGTGTGTCTTTATATTTGTATGACTCTATTTGTGGTTTTTTCTTCTTCTATTTTGTGCGTGTAAGAATTAAATATATAACCCCAAGAAAAGAAAAGAAAAAAATTGTTTTCTAATACTGAGTTGGATGGGTCTGAATTCTGATTATTTTCATTGAGTGAATGAACTTGTGTTCATTCTAGTTTGAGATCCATTCTAGTTAATCATGATTGCATAAAATCTATACGTAATAGTGGTACTTCTATATATTTAATTATTATTATTATTTTTGGGTCTTTCCAAGTAATTATATATTAACTTTTAATTATGGATTCTTAATTGTTTGGAGTGCATTGATTGATTGATTATGTGTTTTGTTTTTAGAGTCCTTAGAAGTTATTTATGTTGGAACACAAGATTGTGGGGCTAGGGATGGGATTTTTTTCCTTTTTTTTTTCTTTTTCTTTTTATTTTTATTTTTATGTTGGGTTAGAATTAGCTGATCTATTCCAGTTGTGATTTTTTATAAGGGGAATTATAGACTAGTGGGTGGTTAGGTGAAGAACTTTGGAGGAGGGGTTTCAAGCGCGTGCATTTCTTCTTTGTTAATGATTTTGTCTTAATTTCTCCATTGTCCTCTTGAAGTTTCAAAAACTAAATACTTTTTCTTTTTCTTTTCATGTGTTTGATATAGACACTTCTTTCTTAGAAGTGTGTCCTTTTTCATGTGTTTAATACCCCTTTTTTTGCCTTAATTTCAACTCCCCTTAATTTCAACTCCTATATGAAGTGTAGATTATTTACGGTTGTCAAAAAAAGGGTCATATTTCTTGTTCAGTTTGAGGCTTTGAGAATGACTCTACCCCATCTTTATGTTTGTTTGTCATGAAAAAAAGTCTTATTTATGTTCCCCCAATTTTCTTCTACTTCCTTCATTTTTTATTTTTTATTTTATTTTTGTGTTAATGTTCTGTTTGGATAATTAATTCTAATAATTTGTCATCTAGAGACATGTAGGAAGCTTGTTAGAAGACTTTACACAAAGGCAGATCAGCACACTAGAAGTGAGTGGAAACTTTTTTGTTGCTGGAGGCTTAAGCTTTCGAGAACTTACTTGTAAGGTGAGTTGATATATGTGCAATTGTCAATCTCTTTTTATAACACTCACTGTAATATAAAAATTAGACACTCTTCCACTCAATAATCTAGAACCATTATTTCTCTAAATCCAGAAATCTATAAAAAAAAATATCAACATTTGATCTCATACCAACTCCAACCATCCAGTCTCATATTTAGTCTTATATGATTAGATGGTACCTAGAAAAATACCAAAGAAAGAAACAAGTTGTAGAAACTAAACCCTCAGAAAGTATAAACAAATAATAGTAGAAACCAGACCATCAGTAAGTATAAAACAAGTAATAGAGAAACAATGAGTAATAACTTCAGTTGTAACTATAGAGTAAATAATAGAGAAAGAATGACTAATAACTTCAGTTATGATTTCAATACCATAAGGAAAGATAAACTGCAATACAAAGCATGAACAAGGTATCAATATTTTATAAGATATCAAGCCAATGCAACAGGGTTCACTTTATAAGTATCTACTGATGCACTTTGCTGGTTTACTATGCTAATCCACTTTGATGTCTACTAATGTCTACTGATGTCTACTTTGATGTCTACTGATGCACTTTACTGGTTTACTATGTTCAATAACTAAATTAATAATAATGAAGTAAATAAGAAGCAAAAACATAAACAATAATTTGCGACCTTCAGATAGTCAAACCAAACTCCAGATGCAGTATCGACTCCAGCAAATAACCGAGATACCTAGTATACCAGAATAACTACAAGCAGAAAGCAAACTTAAAAGGTATAAGCATATATAACACTCAAATATAAGAACATAAGTGTCACTCAAACATATCTAATTAAAGAAATCCAATGACTCAATTTATATAATCCAAAACACAAAACTAGATAAATAACAGTGCAAATAAAAAGAAATTGGGGCACACATAGCATGTGCAAGCAAACTTTAAACACATGATAATACTGATAAGTATCAAATGCTAAATATAAAAATAATTTTGTTAAAAAACTATAGTGTGTCAAGTTTGCAATTATATGATGTAAAACCCAAAACAGAACTGCATAACAAACAACTTGCAAGGTCAAAACCGGATTGGACTGATCTAAATGCACATGAATATTACAACTTGCAAGGTCAAAACCATACTGGACCGATCTAAATGCACATGAATATTACAACAACAGATGGGATATGACCAGCCTTCTATAAACAAACCAAAACCAAGCTCACCCAAACTACAATCTATGGGTGGAATGAATCAATTCTTCAAAAAAGAACTACACAATGTGCAGAACATCTTAACCATTATTGAATCTTGAAATTGATAATTTCCAACCCATAATATTCATAATAAATAAGGAGGACTCAGTTAGGATCATCAACAAGATCTTCCTCATTAGCACTATTGTCATTAATTTCAATCGTATCACATCAAGCTACAGCGACCAGAGGACTTCGTTTCTCACTAAAACTAATATTGCTAAAACAATAAAAAAAAGTTACCTCTGAAACAGCTAAAAAAAATTAAACATTAAAACAAAAAGTATAAAATATTACAAATATTAATGGATTAGCCGCTGTATCTTTTTATGAAAAAGCTAGAATTTTGAGTTAATAGCTCTTAGGCTCTAGTTATCCATGTAAAAAGAGTGAAGTCTGCTTTACCGGGGCTCAAATGGGTTACCCATCTAATATAGAACAGGTCCTACATTTTTAAATGAGTGCTAGTAGGGTGCATTTTGCATGCTATGAAGAAAAAGCTATGCAGCTCTCGGGATTTTTGTCCGCGGTGCAGAATATTTTAGATTGAAATTTTGCTGGTTTTCTTCTTGTTGGAATTATTGATTTTTGACTGAAAGCTTAAAATGTGCAGAGAAAGCAAGATCACTTTCATTCTTTGAGGAGTTAGTTTAGTTGTTTGCAATGAACAATTATCATTTTTGCATCATCCCTTTCAAATGGTCAATTATAAATTTCTGTAGAAGTCCTACCACCGAACTGTTAGTTGGAATTAATAGATAATATTCATATCGAATAATAGGCTTTTTCCACTCAAAACAAGAAAACTGCCTTGTGTTCATGTTGCTATTGTAAAGGATGTGTTTCAAAACTGAAGTACATTGTCTCGGCCTCTACATTACATAAAGTAAAATAGCGGTAATAGGAATAGTGATCGGCAAGTTCAGCTCTTGACAACTCCATTGAAGTGAAGTGCAGAAGTAGCTCTATGTATGTCAAGTAATGTAATTAGGGGTTCATAAAGATATGGTATGGTAGTGGTATGTTGAATGTCAAATGGTATCCATCTAAATGCCAAATCTCATGGTAAAAGGTGAATTTATAGAGACACATTTTGAAACATCAAAATCCAAACAAAGACATATACAAAACTACACAAATAATGGGAGTAAGGACCCCTCAACTCTGAGAATTTAATCCATACAATAAATTGAAGATAAAGCAAGAATAATAAAAAATAAATTATTAAACAAAAGAAAAGGGAATCAACCTACCTATACATATGCACAAAGATATGCGTGTATGTATATATATAATCTAAAACTCTTATTATCATTCAATTTGAAGCCGCCACCACCATTCTCACCGCTAGGGCAATGTTTCATCGTTATTGAAGATACTAGCGACGAACTCCAAACTAATTGACTAGTGGTTAAAAGGAACACCGATTCCCAAATTAATACAGTTACAGATAAGGGTAGTCTTCCATCGATTCGTTCGCGAATGGGTAGGATGAGATATTGGTAGAGAACTACAATGATTTTAAGTTCAGCTATAGTGGAGAAACATATTGAACTTAGGAATTACCCTATAAGTTTTTGTGATTTCAAAGAAAACAACAGAAATAATACCCTCTTATGCCACAAGAAGAACAAACAAAATTTTATAATTCAAATCTTCCATTAACATGATTTTAAAGGATAGAGAAGCAGCCCACATGTACACCAGTAATTGACAACCAGTAATTTACAAGAACTAAGGAAGAAAGGAAGTCAAATGAGTGATTGAACTGACCTTTACAGCCCAAATGATCTGGATCTTATTTGAGGTTCAATTTGCTGATTCCATTTCACTGCAACTCCAGTGACCGTCGAATATCATTCCAAAGGGTTAACAGAGAGATGATAGAGGATCGTTCAGGCCATGGATGCAAAGGGAAAATAGATGGGTTAATAGAGAGGATGGTTCTATGAGTTTGCAACGATTTGGGTTTAAAGGGAAAATCGATGCCTAACAGCGAATACAGAGAGAGGATAGTAAGTTCGTGTGCGTGAAATTGGAGACCAAAAAATAGAGAGTTGAAATTTTGGGCGCTCAAATTTAGTGAATATTAATGAATAATTAATAAAGTGTATAAAACATTATTTTTTCCTATTTTTTTTACCATATCCTTTTGTTAAATGCTGAAAAATGCTCAATGTCTTTTATTTTTATAACAAAATGTAACCATTTAACAATATTTAAAAATCAAAAATTTAAGAAAGAATTTAAAATATATTAACAATGTTTTGAAAATGTTGTAGATTAAGAAAAAAAATAATTTGTTGTAAAAAGTAAGTATTTAACAACATATAAAAGTATGTACCATGTAAATATTAGGTTGTTAATAATCAATTTTCCTTCAGTGTTAGTGTAATGTATAGCCTAATAGAAGATCTTTTTATTTTCATCACATGAAATTTTAGTGACTTTTTTTTAACTTTCAAAATCAAAATTATAGGTATCCAGGTCAGAATTGATATTGTATATGGTTCTACTGAATGGTTATGATTGCTACTTTGATCATTATTGTCATGTGCTTGGATTAGGGTGTGAACATGTATATTTGCACTTGTTTGTTGAAGAATCAGTTTGATACTTACTAGTTTATAAATATTGTTGTTAACTGATAATAGAATAATCCTTCTTTTTTTTTTTTTTCTTAAGTCTGATTAGTGGAGTACTTATATATTGTTTAATATTTTACTTAGGAATAAGAAGTCACGCTGTTTTTTTTTTTACAGACATACATTCTTTTGTATCATTTTCATTCTTGAGAGGCTCAGGACCACCCATTTGTATCCATCTAAGATCATTAGGAAGAAAATGAAACATTCTTATGGAGAGGATTACTACAGTAAATATACATAGGATAAAAAGGATGTGTTCAACTCTTCATTTGTCTATAAATTGCTTGATATAATAAGAAAAGCCAAGTCACTTAATTCCGAAGGAAAATCTTGTTCTCACCAGGATATCAAGTTTTCTAAAATACTCTTTAAAAAAATTTATTTCAGTGTTCAAATTCTAATCTCAATTCTTCTTATTCTTATTCTTATTCTTATTTATTTTTTGCAGGTTTCACATTGATTGCAATCTGGCTCCCTATATGGATTCAGAATTCTTTTGGCATTTTGATATATGTATGTGATTAGCATTGTGTAATATTGGATTCGAATATTAGCATTTTGATTTATGCTGGAATTATATTTTAGATTTTGGATGATTTGCACATTTTAATATCTAAATTCTGAATAGAAGGTTTTTATCTTCTATGTTTGATTGCCAAATATATTAATTTTGAGTGAGATGCTTGTCTTTTAGTTTAGATTGTTTAGTTTATCATTATTTTAATTTACACTATAGCTTCCAAATTTCAAATAAGTGAAAACAAAATTATATTATTGTATTAGTCGCAGGACATGTTATTTTGTAACAATAAAATTGTTTACATTGGCAACATATTTGTCACAATAAGAAATATTTTGTCACAATAAAACAACTCATATTGTGACAAAATATTTGTTGCAACATGGTATTTATGTTGCAACAAATATTTTGTCACGATAAAAAATATCTTATAGCGACAATAATTTTGTTGCGACAATATTTTGTCACAACAAAAATAGCTTAAAGTGATAATAATTTTGTCTCAACATGGCACATATATTGCAACGAAATATTTTGTCACAATAAAAATAGTTTATAGCGACAATAATTTTGTCACAACATGGTACATATATTACGACAAAAATTTTTGTCACAATAAAACAGCTTATAGTGACAATATTTTTATCGCAACATGGGATATATATTGTGACGAAAGATTTTGTCGCAATAAAATATCTTATAGTGACAATTTTTGTCACAAAAGAGTATAAATATAGTAACAAAAAAAATTTTCATCACAAAATAGTGAAGAATAGCGACAAATTTCATAAGTTTTGGATGGTATAAGACGACAAATTTTGAATATTTTACGACAAATGTGTTGTCATAATTTTTACTCATTTTGTGATGAAAAATAATTTGTCGCAATATATCTTACCTCTAGCAACAAATCAAAATTTGTCACGAAAAACATATTGTGACCGGCTTCTAGCGACGACCTAGTGACAAAATTATTTTTGTCGTGATAATCTTTTCACGAAAAAATATGCACTTTTAGTGACAAACTCTTTGGTTGCTAAAGACTAAATTTGTTGTAGTGAATAATCCCTATGGCACACATTATAATGTCGGGTGGAAGAACCATCCAAACTTCTCTTGGAAAAGCCAAGGGGAAAGGTCAAACCCTTCCCAAAATGGTTTTCAAAGGAAGTATGTTCCGCCCTCAATGCAAAGCCAAGGTTCCCAAGATTATAGATCATCATTTTAAGCATCACATGGTAATTAATTTTCAAACTCTCATTTTCCAAATCAATCTTCATACTCTCAAGGAAATTCTAGGAGTCCCGCTTTTTAAAAAAAAGTGTTGACCGCTTTGGGTACTTTGGAGGTAAATACCCAATAACTTCATTCTCATTCCTAATCTATTGCAAAGCTAGAAATCCAAGTCGGGCAAATAGCTAGTACATTGAATGCTAGGGAAAAAGAAAAAATGCCTCTAAATGCCCCACCAAAGCAACAATTTGTTATGGAGACCAATTCCTCTTCGGAAGGTCAGACAATTAAACATGTAAATGCGGTGACAACCTTGAGAAGTGGAAAAATTGTGGATAATCGAGTTGGTGTTCAAAATGAAGAAAGTGAACCGGTGCAACCAAAAGTTGACACCCGTCCCGTCTCACATCCTATTCTTCCCTCATTGCATGTGAAAGACCCTTTTGTTGAGAAAGACTTGAAAAATGATTTGAAGAATTCTTGTGTTGAAGATGTTTTGAAAAAGGATTTTGAAAAAGTTTTTGAACCAAAGGCTCCATTTCCGGATGCCTTGAAAGGATCCAATTTTCTTGAAAAATAATAAGACAAAGTAAATGAGATAATTGAAATGTTTATGCAAGTGAAGATTAATCTTCCTCTCTTGGATGCAATCAGACAAATTCCAGCTTATGCCAAATTTTTGAAAGATTTTTGCACCCTTAAGAGGAAGAACAGGAGTCAACCACCAAAAAAAGTTGTTTTGACCGTGCAAGTAAGCTCCATTGTACAACATCACACTCTCCTAAAATTCAAAGATCCCGATTCACCTACTACTTCTTGCATTATTGGTGACCATGTCATTAAACGGGCTCTTCTTGATTTAGGAGCAAGTGTGAACTTTCTTCCATATTCAGTGTATGTTTAATTGGGTCTAGGAGACTTGAAACCGACGTTGATAGTGTTGCAACTAGCTGACCGATCCATCAAAAAGCTCCGGGGTATTATTGAGGATATGTTGATCAAAATTAATAAGTTGTTCTTCCTGATCGATTTTGTAGTCATCGACACGGAACCGGTCGCAAATCCCAAAAGCCAAATTCCCGTTATCCTTGGCCGTCCCTTCTTGGCAATCGCTAATGCTAACATAAATTGTAGGACGAGGATAATAAAAATTTCATTTAGGCATTTGAAGGTGAAGTTGAACATTTTCAATCTAACCTCCAATTCCATGGACAAGCATGAAGAAGTATGTGTTGTTGAAAAATGTCTTGAAAGTGAATTTAAAAGAAGTAAGTCTTTGTGTGATGTTGAAACTTCCAATGGTTTGTTTTCTAAAAAAGTTTCAAAATGAAATGTTTTCAAATCAAGTGTTGCAAGGGCATGGAAACCCAAGAATTGCTTTGATCAAGGACCTTCAATTCCTTTTGAATTAAATCCAACAAGTTCCCTAGGGAACAATTTGTTGGGTACGATTTAAAATTTCATTCACCCTGCTAAGGAGGGGATGCATAATAAGATTTCAGATCCGAGATAAAAGTGCCCAACGTCTTACTAGAGACGTTAAACACTAGTGATTCATAGGGTTTCCAACCCTATTCCTTCCTCATTTCTATTTTATTTCTTTTCTTGCGTCGTCTAGATATAATCTGGGATCATACATGTTGTTTGGGATTTTGTTGGGAAATGTATGCTCTTTCATCTTCAAATTAGGCATTTAGTGCATGTTCGATTGATCTCATGAGATATTCGATCGATTGAACATCATCTCTGCATATTCTCATCTCTCAGTCCCATCGTATGAAAATTCTCTGCAGAAATTATCTCTCTGTGTATCGTGCGAACTTTCTCCCTGATCGATCCAAGTATCCCTCGATCGATCTAGTTTTCCCTTGGATCGAGCTCAATTCCATACTTAGAAAATTTTTGGATCTCTAAAAAAATCAACTATTTGTGTATAGTTCGAGGTTGTCTGCTGGTTTACACATTCTCGATCGATTGAGTTTCAATCGATCATTTTTTGATCTATCTGGGTTCTTAGCTTTGACTTTGACTTTAAATTTCAAATTTCAAAATTCAAATCTAAAAAAAAAAAAAAAAAAAAAAGAAAAAGATTTTAAATTTTCAAAATTAAAAAATATTAAAAAATATTTTGTCGTTTTGTGGGTTTGATCGATCTGAGCACCTTCATGATCGATCTTTGTTCGATCGATCCATTGACCCATGTGATCGATCACACAAGTCGGGAAAAGTTTTTAAAAAATGACCCAAGGGTCATTTGGATCGATTTTTACATCAATCCAAGGGTCTCTCTCTCTCTCTCTCGGCGTCTCTCCTTCATCTTCCGCATCTCAGGCATCCCCAAAGCTTTATCTCCGACCTCGATCTTCACTTCTCTCTCTCAGTCATCTCCACTTCTCCCTTGACTTTGGGTAAGGTTTTCATTTTTCATTTTTGTTTTGTTTTAATGATTTCACTTGCCATGCTTAGATTTAAGCTTCCAATGATTGATTTCGTTGCCATATTTAAACTTGCAAGCATGTGTATATATATGTATATATGTGTATATATATATTTTGTTTCCGAATTTAGATTGGGGGTCACGTGCCATTTCAAGTGACCAAATTTGCATTATTGAGGTGTATAGCGGGTCACGAGCCTTGAAGTGACCATTTGGACTCACCCC